GTAATCAAACTTGTCAACATCAATTCCAGTTCGTTTATTTGAAACAATCTGAAGAAAGAACTCAATTGACTTTTTAATATATGCAATATCATACAGACATACCTCATATAAAAATTGCTTTGATCCTGAATCACGACCAACATACTTTAACGATAAAACTGTGAGTGAGACACAAGCAATGATGAAACTGTAGCCATACCTTTTTATTGTTTTCCGGTAATGGACCTGCAATTAATTCTTTAATAAATATAATATCAGCATCATTAAGGTTATAGCGATTCAATATCGTTTTTAAATTATTTTGTTCAATCATGTAATCGAACATTTTGATTGAAGCTTCTTCATGTGTCCAATTTCGATCAGGTCTTATTTCTCTTATAACATCTTCGAATAAATGTGAGAACGGACCATGACCAAGATCATGGCATAGAGCAGCTATTTGCACACATAATTTATCTTGATCTGTTATATCTAAATGTGGCTGCTGCTGTTGCAACGACGTTAATAATTCACCAGCTAAATAACAGGTACCAACTGAATGTTCAAATCGATTATGTGATGCACCAGGGAATACATAATGAGTTACACTCAGTTGTTTGATACGTCTTAAACGTTGAAATTGTGGTGTATCAATTATATTAACTAACAAAGGATTTAATTCAATTGAACCATGGACAGGATCATTAAAAATTTTCTTTGTTACTTGATATCTTTGTTTGTCTTCTTTTGTGGTATCAGATCGTGTACGTTTTCTGATATGTGTTGTTGTTGTAGCCATTTGTCGCTAAACTTTGAACTCTTATTACGTACCTGTTATATTTAATGAAGTATTTACCGACTTTTTTCTTTATACTCAAACACCCAAAAGGTCTTGACACGACGAAATTTACGTGTGTAATGTGTAGTTATAAAAGAACGTGGTTGATTCTCTCGTCTGTCTGACAAAAGCAAAATGAACATCAAAACCTAGAGGTCTAGAACAAAATAGTAGAGATATGCACGTAAAAAATGCGTATTTTTCCAGTTTGCAAGCCGAGAAGTTTTCCCGATCGGGATATAAGACACGAAATTTCGTCGTAAAAAGGATTAAGACAAAAACTGACCTCACCATCAGAAAGACCTCGAAAAACTACATCGGATTTTATTGTGTTTGCTTAAAAGTGTACCAGGCACCCAACGGCTATTTTTTCGAAAATAGAAATTTTTATCAATTACACATATATTGAAACACACATTTGTTTTCTCATGTGTTGACAATATATAAGTATATGTGCTTTGTGTTTAACGAGGAATTTTCCAACTACTGATTCGCGCAGATAAACTCCCTTATACTTTTTGTAAGTGAATTACAACTTGCTTACAACTCATTTATACTCATATTGCCCGGTAGGGCGACACCCCGTTCAAATCAATTAGATCTGATGAAAACATGTTAATGTGAAAGTTAGAAATTACACTGTCCATCATAATTATGCTAAAACGTAGATCTATGATTCATCCAAGGAGTCGGTAAAATTTAGCCAGTGAAGTCAGGTCCATTTGGGCGCTCTTGCGTTATATTTTCTGTTAGTAGTAAAAAGGACTGCGATTTGATGAAGGAATGAATTTCTTCAGATTTACAAACCCAGAGCAGAATAAACAATTCAAAGCGTTGTAGTCATTTCTAAATAAGTTTCAGATTTTGCAGAGTATTTAGTAAAAGTACAACATAATAAACAACAACACTGGTACGCGAGAAGGCTTATGAAGGTTTTTTGAAAAAGGATTTGAAATTTCAAAAGTTATCGATCATTACACAATATCTGAAGTTCAATAACGATTAACGTTCAACTCATCATATTAATGCAAAAAATAGGAGAGAGCTACAGCGACATTTTGAGAAAAAATAAAATGTCTACTTTTCTTGGATCAAGAATTACAGACTAAGCATTTTACAAAAAAAAAATGAAACACCCATATCTCACAAATCAAATAAGCTTGATTAACATATAATTCTTAAAGGTCAAATTCATTTCATAGATGATTATCAGCAAAAAGGAAGTCATGTTACCTATGTAGATTCCCAAACTTGACTAAAAACTATTTTTTTTAAGAGAAATATTTTTATATATAAGCTATTTTTTATAGAGAAATCTACAGACGATATAAGGTGTATAACTTTTGTGTTTTCTTGAACATAAGTTTTCTACAAGAAAAATAAAACTCCCAGGAAATTGTCTGATTTTCCACTGAATTTATTCGACATTAAAAGAAAGAAAGAAAAACTGGACGAATGATGAATTTTATGTGGAACAACATGAATAAAAATGATTACACAATTAGTACCATATTTCAATAATCAATTCAAACCATGATTTCTACGGTAGATATCTATTATGGATCATCATAATCGATTGTCTCGATCGTCTGATTGCCGCATATAAGAAAATTGAAAAACCTACCATCTGAAACTAACCAACTTGAATATTGTTTTATATTATTTTGTTTTCTCTGTGGTTGTTTTCTGTACAATGAGAAAAAAAAAATTTTTTATATAAAGAATTGTTTAGTTTTATTTTATATTTCTTCTTCTTCTCTTCTCTCTATTTCCTCTCTGTTTTTTAAACATCCATTAATAGTAACACTATAATGTTGATATTGCTTCAGGGGGAAAGATGACTATATTTTTTTTTATACAAGCATAGTGTTAAAACATCTTTTGATTCTATTCATCTGTTGTGTATGTGTGTCATATATTATTTTCTGTTGTTTCTATGTTATATTAGCAAAAAAGAAAAAAAACCAAAACAAAACATAAAAAAATACTTACTGATATTTCTCTCATCAACTATAGAGACATACACTATTTATCTTCTTTTTTTAATACAATTTGGTTATTTTGCGTTAGCGTTAGATGCAACAAAAACTTTTCAAAAAAATTGGACTAAATGCTGAATACTTTTATTGTTTTTGCCTTATCAAATAAGAATACAAAAACGAATTGACGCATGTAGTGCTCTATTTCATCTATATTTGTATTTCGTTCCTACTGTTATCGATTTCTATGAAAATATATATTAAACATACTCTTCTACATTATATCTATCGAATAAATTAAAAAGTATTATTGTATAAATGTTTAATCAAGATTTATAACGCTCTCCTGATCATATTTTACAGCAGTTATTTACTGTTATGATTCTATTGAAAGATTGGTTTGCTTTGTTTTGAGTGATTTACCCATGGCTTTACGATGTGAACACGCTTGAAAAGCTTTTTTAAAAATTTTGTTGCTGTTCGTGAAAACCTAGTCTAGTATTCCTACATTCTTCGGCTACAAGTTTCAGGATTTGCTGATTTGCCTATCGTTTCAGACAGTCCCAATAATTAATTAATTAATTTGTATTTTTTACTATCACTATCGTTTTGTATAAGTTCTACCGCGCTATGAAAAATGAAGACGCGCGGAACGTTAATACAAGGCACCAGCGTTTTTCTAATACATTTCGACACTTTGCTATTGATTGGAAAAGTGTAAAGTGGTTGCAGCGTCTTAGAGTAACATTTTTTCACACAAAACCTGATTGGTCAATATAGAACATTCGCTTCTAAAGACTCAAACGTTTCATAACACGCTTGTTCGCTAGAAAGCAAGCGCAACTTATATTTTACGTCAAAATTCACCTAGTACTTTAAAAATAGATGTACTTTTTGAAATTCTTGCAGTCGTTTATCCAAAGTTCGAGATTTTCAAACACAAGAAGATCTGTTTCGTCACTCTTATGTGAATTTTGAAATGAAAAAATAATTGAAGTTTGATTTGTGGCAGGCCAACGAGGAAGCAGGTAGAAAAATTTATGAAAAGGAAGAAATAAGCCAAAATGCGTGAAGCAATCAAATTTTTTTGAAACGTTTTTGTTGCATCTAACGCTAACGCAAAATATCCAAATTGTTTGTCTTTGTGGAAAAATCCTTGGCTACAATCTTTCATTATGGAAAACAATTGGCGGTTTGTCCATGTAACTCCTCTGGTAGAGATGTCACAGCATTACTTTTTTTGTTCATTTTGTTTCGCCTATAACTCCGACACTAAAAGTCGTAGAGAGTTTGGAGACGTTTTAAATTATAGAAAAACTGTTTTCCACATTTGAGATTTGATCACACTCTAGGTAACCTATTCTCATAAAATTGTAATCCAAATGCTGAGATCAGCTTTTTAAGAATTGAAACCAAAGGTGTGGATCTCAGCATTTTGACCACAGTTTTATGAGGATAGAATACCTAGAGTCTGATCAAATCTCAAATGTGGAAAACAGTTTTTCTATAATTTAAAACGTCTCCAAACTCTCTACGACTTTTAGCTTCGGAGTTAGAGTCAAAACAAAACGGACAAAAAAAGTAACGCTGTAACATCTGTGCCATAGAGATGTCAAATTTCAAGTTTCTCTATTGGAATTTTCAATTGTCCTGAACTTTAGTTTCACCTTCGACATATATAAAAATAAAAATGTAAATACCTTGAATAGGTTTGAGCAAAATTTATCATATGAATTGCGAAGAAAGAAAAAAACAAAAATCTGAAACTGAAGAAGGAAGAAGATTCTTCCGAAACGTTTTTTGAAATATAATTTCAGTTAATAAAATTTAAAAGGAAGAGTTTATAATCAAAAACTAATTCAATGTCCTTTCAAACTATCACACAAAACAAAAATCTGACACGCAAATCTCTGTAGATAAAAATATTACAGTGCATGCAAAATTTTTAGACTTAAACACCGTCGAACTATTCAAGTAAAACAAACTCATGTATTAGATCTCTTTCAATCATCATAATTTCCACTTCATTGCACTGTAATATTTTCATATATAGAGATTTACGTGTGAGAAATTTTTTTGTTTTTCTTTTGTTTTTTCTTTTCAATTCATGTGACAAATTTTGCTCAGACCTAAAGAATTGTTTAGTTTTATTTTATATTTCTTCTTCTTCTCTTCACTCTATTTCCTCTCTGTTTTTTAAACATCCATTAATAGTAACACTATAATGTTGATATTGCTTCAGGGGGAAATATGACTATATTTTCCCCCCTTGATGACTATATTTTCATCCCTTTTCAATTTTCTTATATGCGGCAATCAGACGATCGAGACAATCGATTATGATGATCCATTATAGATAACTACCGTAGAAATCATGGTTTGAATTGATTATTGAAATATGGTACTAATTGTGTAATCCTTTTTATTCATGTTGAACACATTAAATAGTGTATGTCTCTACAGTTGATGAGAGAAATATCAGTAAGTATTTTTTTATGTTTTGTTTTGGTTTTTTTTCTTTTTTGCTAATATAACATAGAAACAACAGAAAA